TCTGAAGCATTTCATAGTCTCTCTTTGATATATATAAATTGCCAGGGCCACTACTCTATAAATGTTATCTGGTGACTAGCACTGTGATACTAGAAAAGTTGTTCTGATAACTGAGATGGCTTCTAGGTGACTAACAGGGGGGTAGCACATACAGCATGGATACTCCTGGCAAAGGCTGAGTCACATCCTGAGTGAGACAGACCTAGATGGCTTAAGATTTAATCACATCACTCAGATCATTATCTAATTTAAAATTTATGAATTGTTGATTCCTGGTACTTTCCTTTACATATTTTTAGACTGTAGCCAATCAAGGGTCACTGAAACCACACACACACACACAAGAAACTAGGTAAGTGGAGACTCCTACAGGTGAACTCCAATGCTGTCACTGTGACAGAAGGATGAAGGAGGGGCTGAGGGGATGGTTTAGTTAGTAAAGCATGAGGGGCTGAGTTCAGATTCCCAGCGTCCATCCAAAAAGCCAGGTGAAGCTCTTACCATTTCAGCACTGGGAAAGTGGAGACAGGGGAATCCATGGGGCTTGCTGGCTAGCCAACCTATCCAACTGCTAAGCTACAGGTTCAGTGAGAGACCCTGTTTAAAAAGAATAAGGTGGAAATGACTGGGGAAGACATTTGACATCTGCCTTTAGCCTCTGAATGCACACTAGCCTGTGCACATGCACACACAGCCACACACAGAGAGACACACAGCGGGGAGGGAGGGAAGGAGGCAAAGAGAAAGAATCTTGAAGGACTGGTGAGCTCAGCTATGCAGGAGGCCAAGACACTAGTATTGTAAGTTCTAGGCCAGCCTGGGCAATTTAGAGAGACCCTGTCTTGAAATGAATTGGCCGAGGATGCAGCTAAGTGGGAGAGAACTTGCCTATAACATATGAGGCTCCAGGTTCTGTTAAAAATAATATAGGGAGAGTCATATGCTCCACTTCTAGGCGGGCTTGGATGGGTGGATCAACAGTGATGGCACACAGGGACGCATCCCTACACAGATGTGAAATTTGCATTCCAGACAGGGAGAGCTCTAGGCAGCTGTCCTAGCGAAAGACGAACTGGTCAATGTGTTAGCAAAGGCATGCATCCAGTAAAGGACGCTGAGGCCCTGTAGGATAACTTCAGCCAGGAAGTGCAGAAGCCATCCGTGCCTGAGTGTGCCTCCCTCAACACCTACTCTTAAACACCAGCCACCTTACGCCATCTCTGAAGTCTTTCCCTCCATGTCCCTACTTTCGCTGGTTTCCACCCCTTGGGAGGGCCAGGGCAGGAATACTGCTGCAGAGCCCAAGCCCACAATCTTGTCAGGCTGTGAGAGCCAAAGAAAAGTGTGCTTCCTGGGGCAGCCTCAGTTTCCCTTTATGGATGGAAAGGCAATAGAATCTTCAGTCAGCTAGACAACGCCAAGCTCCAGTGTGGAAGGGTCTAGATAGTAGGCTGGGAGGGGTTTTGTCTCCTGCTCCTTGAACGTTCCTCCTAATCACCTGTTCCCTCCACTATGCTGGCTATATCCAGGCCCAGCATTAGGACCATCAAGACCACACACTAGGTCATGTGGACAGGGAGCCCCATCTCTCAATCACAGCATCTCTTTCTGCTCTTGACACCACTATGAAAGAAACATACTCAACAGCCCTGGCTTGTCAGGAAATAGTCTTTATTACAAAAATCTGCATGTAAACAAACAGCAACCATACTGAACAGCCTCACTCCAGGGCACATATACCCACACAGAGAAAGGCAGAGTCCTGTCCATGAGCTGGGTTCAGGCTGCTTGGTATGCACGTGGGCCTGCACATGCATCTCCATAGGCCCAGGCCTTACTGGCCTCTTGGAGTTGCCTCCCTGGTCAGCACTGCCTGTCTGTCCATGACCATGAGACAGGGTGTGCACAGCTGACAGCTCTGGGAATCACAGAGCATGGGCCAGCCCTGGGGCATCTAGAGCGGTTGGCTGGGCCAGCCCCTCCACCCATCCACTGGCCCACTAAGCGAGGGGCCCAGGAGGCCTTAGAGAACAGAGAGGTCATGGCAGGACTTGGACTTGGCGCGGAAGGCCATCTTGCGGCTGTTGCGAGCTACGATGCGGCCCAGAAAGCGTTTGGCCTTCTTGCCAAGGCTCTCCCGTCGCCGAGTGCCAGCTTGCCGCCGGGCATTATCCTCTTTGCTGTCCCTGCGAAGGCGTATCTGGCGCACGACACCCTCGAACAGGGCCTGGACGTTGTGATGCAGTGCTGCTGATGTCTCGATGAATTTGCAGTCGAAGACCACTGCGCAGGCCCGACCCTCTATGTGGTGGGGACAGACATGTGCCAGTAAACAAGGAGCAGAGGATGCTATCTCAAACCCTGGCCATATCTGGCAGCTACAGTGCAAGAGTTCTCTAGTAACAGAAGAAGGAGCCTTAGATCCTTTTTAGAGACACAGAGACCCCAGCCCCTGTACTGAGAGCCCCAAACATTGCTGGGCCGCTTGGTAGGCAGAATGTGCCTCCAAAGTGTATGGTGGCCCACAAAAAGGAATTCGTTTATTTAAAACCCAGTGTTTAAAACATATTCTGTAATAGTGGATTAAGGCAAATGAAAACGATTTGACAGTATGTTATGATTTGCTGTTATAAGGAATGGCCCGATGGTCTGGGGTGGGGACAAGGTCACCAAGTTTGAAGTACTTGGTACTGTAGGCCACAAAGGAGGATGCTGAAGCCTGATGAGAAGCACCAGGCTTACTCCAAGAATGGTGGGGCCTGGACTCAGGTTTTGACCTCCTGATTCTCTACATGTTCTTCCATTTCTTCAGTCTCATTCTGTCAGGCATGGACCTGAGGAGCAGTTGAGGAGGGAGCTTGCGTGCCTCAGTTCCCCTAGCAGATGTGGCTCTTCCTTCCCCTTTGTTTTAGGCCTTTGGGAGCCCGATGGACCAGAAGCATCTCCCTCACCCTCCAACACCAAGTTTTCTTCCTGAACATTTTTAGCCATTGATGATCCCCAGGGACTCAAGCTGAGTCAAGACTAACTGGCCCACAGCCCAGTCAGGATCTCCCTCCCTTTCCTGACCCAGTGCCTGCTTACCATCCACAGAGACCTCACGAGAGCGCACCAGGTCACTTTTGTTGCCCACGAGGATGATGGGCACATTGTCTGTTTGTCGTGCTCGCCGCAGCTGGACCCGAAGTTCGGAGGCTTTCTCAAAGCTCCCCTTGTCTGTTATTGAGTATACAATGACGTATGCATCTCCCATGGCCATGCAGTGGCCAGGCAGCCAGCAGCCCCCATCCTGGAGGGGGCACAAATATACACACAGTCCTGTAATTCCCGGCAAGACCCTTCTCCAGCTTGCTTCCCCCTCTTTCCCTGTGACCCAGCCTGCAACCTACCTGTTCCCAAATGTCATAGACCATGAGTGATGCCTCTTCTCCATCCACAGTGATAGAACGATCATATGTGTGCCCTAGGAAGGGAGCCAATAGCCAAGTTATCAGTTGGCTGTCAAAAGTTCCCAGTGTCCAGTTCCTCTTCTGACCACACCTCCCACTTCTTTTCAGAGTCTCCTGATAACTCTCTGCCACTAGCAGACGGTTGCTATAATCAAACAAAATGACATCCCTGGGAGCTAGGGGCTAGAGGGCATGGAATGCTTGACCTCCATCTCTATGTTCCCAAACTAGCAAAGCACTGGGTGTCCGGGGCTCCCTGCCCTCCTGCTGCCCAGGTCTAGGGTGGATGTGATCACAGTGGCTGGAGTTAGCATAGTGGCTGTCACCCCCTGGAAACCTTGGCCACCTAACTTTCCTCTCCTAGAAACTTCTGATTTTGTTCCTGCCAGCCCTGGCAGGCAGGAGTATCCTGCCCCAAGCCACAGAGAAGTCATACCCAGCGCTCAACTCTTCTATTCTGGGCACTTCTTCCCTATCAAGGGCTGGCACATGGGAAGGGGAGAGGTTGGGGGTAGTAAGTAGGGATTTGTGGTGGCTATTCAGTCCATCTTTGACCCGGAAGTAACACGATTCTGAAAGCGCCTTGAAATTTCATAGTGTTTGCCACTTCTAGTCCAGGTCCCTTGCCTCCCAACTATCTTTTCCTAAACAGCTCAATTCTCTCACCTGCGGCTTCGGCTTCAGGCCCGTCCTCTATACCACCAAAGATGCGCGCCAGGGCGCTCTTGCCCACACCAGGCGCCCCAAGCAGCAGCACCTTGTAAACGCCCTCCTCCGATCCACTCCCTCCCGAACTGAGAGAGTCGGAGGAGCCTTCGGGCCAGTCCAGCCTCTGCCCCTGTGTCCGAGTTCCCGCTGCAGTCGCTGCTAGGGAGCCCGGGGCCAGCGCCGCCTGAAGGTCTCGCTCGTCCACCGGCATGCTCCTGCGGTGCAGTGGGGGTGCGGGGCCCCAGGGGGTGCTGCCTCGACGGCGGTCACGCTCCCTGCCGGTGCCGCGGCTCCCTCCGGCTCCGCTGCCGCCATTAAGGGTCATCGTGTGGGACGCCGTCTAGGGAATCAGGAATCGGCCGGAATGGCAGCTCTATCGCGGGAGCAGGCCAGTACCCTGGAGTCAAGAAAGATGCTCAGGACGCAGGACTTGCCCAAACCTGTTGCAAGGTCTTCACGCCTTAACCAGTAACCCAGCTAGACCTACGTCCCCATCCATCCCCAGCCCAGATGGTGTATGTGGTCCACCCCGCTTCGCCAGGACACTCACCAACTCTCACGGACTCCGTCAGGATTTGATTGGCGCTCCAGCACAGTCCACTGGGGGATCAGATAGAATCCACTCGCAGATCCCTGTTCAGAAAGACTCGGACCCTTGTCGCTGTCAAAACTGCAGCCTTTTTTTCCCTCTGCTACCTTAGCCTCACAGCTGGCGCTGGGTCGCAGCTCTAGGGCCGCCTATTTAAACCTCCACCAGCCTGGCTCCCGCCCTCACTCCTACCCCCGCTCCCGCCCCCGCCCCCGCCCCCGCCCCCGCCCCCCCTCTCGCTCCTGAGTCCACGTCCCAGGTCCACGCTGCTGCTGCGAGGCTGACGCATCCATCCATCCATCCGCCCCCGGGAATCCCCCACCTCCTTTCTAGGACCTCAAACTCGCCAGGGCGGGGCAGGTAGCTGGGAAGAGGCGGGGGGGGGGGGGGTGAGGGCGTGTGGATGGGTACCGGGGTGGGGTGGGGATAGGAGTGTGTGTTGAGGCGGGTGCACGGGGCGGGAGATGCATGATGGAGAGGCTGTCAGTATTGGGTAACTGGACCTGTGAAGTACAACTCCCTCTGGAGAAAAATTAAGACTTTCCATTTAAGAATGAACCAGGCCTGTTACTCAAGCCAGCAGACTAGTTATAGACTGGACACACTCATAGTCCACGGCACCCATTCCTCCAGGTATGACCCTAGCTCGAATTTAGAGGGTCCTAAACTGGCATTTCCAGCTTCAACACTTAGTCCTTCCTATTTCAGTCCTTGTGCTGAGACTTAAAGAGTCTCCCCAATGAGACTGCTCTTCATGTTGAAGGTTGGTGTTGTTCACCAATCCCTGGGGTTCCTTAGAGGGTTATCAGGGAGGGCTCGTGCCACGCGGGTTAGTGGCATCTTCTGTTAGAGCCTACTAGGTGGAGGTGTATGCTTGTCTCCTGGAAAGAAACTACAGAGCCAGAGAAAGGAAAACACAAACTCAAGTCCCCTCCCTAACTCTGAGCATGCCAAGCAGCTGCCAGTAACTGCTAAAAATAATCTAACCCTGGCCCTAGCCATTTTGTTTCTGGGCATGAGGTTGCCCAGAGTCGGGAAGATCCAGGCTGATTGTGAGGAACTCCAGAAGGAGCCAGCCCCTTTATAGTCTTCAAGTTCTTCCAGCTTCCCAGCTCCATGCTGGGCTTTTTGCTGGTAAACATCTCACCCAGAGAGGGGCATAAATGTGGGTGTGGGCAAGGGTTAGGGAAGTTTTCAGGCACCAAGCCCCAGGGCCTCTGCTCAATAACTCACTTCATTTGTTGCCCTGATCCATACCAAGTACCTGTGTGCCAGACCCTTTTATCAACGGCAAAAGCAGATGTAGTGCTTCCACAGCCTTGGAGTTCACCTTTCTTAAACAGTGGGCGAGGACTGGGATAATCTCAGGGGGAAGGAGAGGTGACAGGATGGGCAGAATATCTATCTAGTTCTGGGTCTGCCTCTCCCAGCTCAGGGTTCCCAGCTCTGAACTGGATATCATGGCCTATTCCTTCCCTCCTCATCTCTAGAGTGAAGACTGGGCAACTGTGTGTGTGTGTGTGTGTGTGTGTGTGTGTGTGTGTGTGTGTGTGTGTGTGTGCACGTGCACATCTGCTGTCTGTCTCTGTGTCTGTGTACAAGCTGTGACGTACTTTGGGACAGGGACTTGCTTTTAGACGTTTGTGATGACTGTGGTGGGGGCGGAAGGGCATCCATTTGGGGCTCAGGTGACATCATACATAGATGGTCCTTAGTGGGCCATAGCAGGTTGCCATGGAAACTTGAGCCAGACTTTCTGCTGCTGTATTAGTCTCCTTGGTAACATCTAAGAAGGCCTTGAATTGAGGAAACTGACTAGGGATAAGGTTAGGGAGTTTATGATGCAGGGTCCTTCTTATTCTTAAGGCCCTCAACGTAAGCAGAAGCTGAGCCAAGGCACTTGATTATGTCTCCTTTCTATGAAGGAGGGATCTTGGGAGCCTGGGAAGCCCATGCTGGTTTTTGTTTCTTGGATAAGGCTCAGTGGGAAGAGGGAGTTAGGGGCTCCAGCCTCTTCTTACAGGACAGAAGTCTCTAGAGTCAGCGTACCACTTCCCATCAGGAACCCTGGCTGGCTGTTTATGACACATACACCCCCATGGCATGCACTTACGGTGTGGCTGGAAAGAACCCTGAGGTGTCCAGGACGGTGTCTGGCAGAGGATGGCTGTAGGATAGCTGTAGACCTTCCCAGCAGGGGCCATACAGGGAAACAGGGCTGACTTTCCCCTTTGGTAATCTGAGCTTTTGACCTCAACAGTGTATCTTCTTTGCCAAGGCAACGACATCCACACAGAGCCACTCAGACCCCAGGCATTCCTGTAGTTATGCCAACAGGCCAGAGATCATCATCACAAGCCTAGGTATAGCCAGGAGCCCCACGGTCCAATATCAGGACATGACCTTTAGACTATTTCCTGCTACACTCCTGCCACCTGGTTCTCTCAGCTGCCCAGAAGGAACAAACTGAGGTTGGAACCAGCTCTGTACCATGTTAGCAGTTTCACCCTTGTTCGTTTGTCCCAGATGAGCCTGTTTCCTCCTGTGTAGACCAAGGATAATGTCTCCCCAGTTCTGAGAAATAACTAACATGAAATGTGGAGGTTAAGTCATTGACTCAAGAGTGGCGCATGCAGTGGCATATTGGCTCAAGAGTGGCATATCTTAGCAGGCACAATTATATTTTCATCATCCTTGGTTGGATGGGGCAGGTTGAGTGAATCGCTGGACTGTCTCTTGCTTCTGCTTCAATATCTCCAGGATGATGTTCTGTCCTGAGGAAGGTCAGAGATCCCAGGAACAATGCAGATTACACTTCTCTGTTACCTAATCCCACCTCTTCCCTACCCACTCCCTCAGGTGACTAAATGTTGAAAAGAGCACCTGGCTGGTCTGAGGGTTCATCTCCATTGCCAGTTTGACTGTATTTAGAATTGTCACCGAAACTTCTGGGTATGTCTGTAGGTGTTTTTTTTTTTTTTTTTTTTTTTTTTTTTTTAGAAAGGTTTAACTGAAGAGAAGACCCATCTTGAATGGTAGCATCATCCCATGGACTGGGATCCAAGACTATAAAAAGGAGAAAGTGAGCTGAGTACCGGAATTCATCTCACTTGGCTTCCCAATTGTTGGTACAACGTGACCAGCTACTCACGTGCCTGAAGCCATGCCTTCCTTACTACCATGATATATATCCTCAAACTGTAAGCCAAAACAAAGCCTCCCTTCCCTCAGTTCTTCCTAGTCATGCATTTTGTCACAGCAACGAGAAGAGTAACTAATATGGCTGGACTTCAGCATTCCCAGACCTCCTTACACCACAGCCCTCTTGCTTCAGGGGACTGAAGCTGTACTAAATGACTGTGTCCCAGACCCTTTTGTCAAGGGCAGGATGATGGGAGAAAATAAATGGAGCTGAGTGTGTTCCTATGTGTCATCTATTCGCTGAGGCAATCTCATTTAGCGGTGATTTGTTATTCTCATTGTGTAGACATAGTAACCAGGGCTTGAGGGATCACAGTCCAGAAATAGCAGAGCTAGATATATGTGGTGGAAGGTCTCAGAGATGTTAAACTTCATCCTCCTCCAACCACTACTATGCCTTCACAGAACAGCTGGAGTTCCAGAAAGTTCTTTGGATGCTGGTCCAGTATTCACAGGTGTTCTGCAGACAGCCAGTGGTCAGGCATAGATGAGTCAAGAATTTCAAAGTGGGGCTGGAGAGATGACTCAGTGGTTAAGAGTGCCAGCTGTTCTTCCAAAGGACCCTGGTTCAATTCCCAGCACTTACATGGCAGCTTACAACTGTCTGTAACTCCAGTTCCAGGGACTCCTACACCTTCACACAGACATACATGTAGGCAAAACACAAACATGCATATAAATAAAAATAAATAAAAAATTTAAAAAATGTCAAAGGGACTTAAATGCTAGCAGCTTGATGTCTTTCACTACTATGGCCTGGCCACCAGGAAAGCCCATCAGAATGACTCAAAAGCAACTGCCTAATCTGAACATGGCTGACTACAGATACCACAGCCACCTCAGACAGATGGGGCTTGCCATGCCGAGGTTTACATGTGGTGAGGTCCACAGCTTGGGAAGGATCTTTGGGCCTAATCACCCTGGTGGGTCAGCCTATCTCTCTGAAACATTCAGTTCTTTCACTTGTGAAAATGGAGGACCAAAGTGTCTGGTTAAGATAGGCCAAGGGAAAGTAACATGTGCAGTCCCAGAGATCACCATGACTATCCCCATGTCAACAGATGAGAAACTGAGTGATGTGGGCTGGCCGATGGCTTCATCTTCTTGGTCATGGATGGTCACATCCAGCTTCTCCACTTTTTAGTCATCAGGTTGGCAAAGCCACTCCTCCTAAGAATGAACCAAGAACAGTAGGAGCTGGTCTGGGATGGGCCCAGGCCTTTCCATTGGAGGCAACAGCAACCCCTGCCAAGGGGGCAGTATTTTTATCTGTAGCTGCAAGTCTTTAGGATATTCTAGATCACTCCTCACCTGCAAACTGTAGATAAGGAAGAAAAGCAACCACCACACGGAGTAAGGCGATTTGCTGAGCTGGACATGGTGGCACAGGTGTATAAACCCAGCACTCAAGACTATGAGTCTGAGGCAGCCTGGGCTATACAGTGAGTTCAAAGCCAATCCGGGCCACACAAATAGTGAGACCTTGACTCAAGAAGCCAAAACAAACAAATGAACAAGTGAACAATTTGACAGCTCTTAATGGGCCTAAGCTCTCTGATGAGGATCCATCCATGAGGACACCGCCCATAGTTATGTTTGGGCTCCAATAGGGGTGGGCATTCCCATCAGAGGAAGAGATTGGAGCAGGAAATCTAGAGGCAGTCCTGGGAAAGAGCTTCCAAATGGCTAAGATCTAAGACCAGTGGTCTCTCTCGAGGTGACAAAGTGCACGCTGGGCACTGGGCCAACAGGAGGCAGAGGCCCTAGACAAGGGTATATCACTTTATAGAGCTTCTCTCACCTAGCACCCGGGGTGACAGAAACCGCTGGAAGGACTGATGGTGAGGATTCCCCAGGATCTTTTCAGTAGAGAAAGTGAGTATTACTATTTTGACCTAGGGACCAGGCCAAGCATCACCATCAGTGGACAAATAGGCATGCTACCTACAGGTTAAATGTCACAGCACACACACACCACCACCACTCCTGGCCAAACCTCTCAAACCTGAGCTCATTTGGGCCTTTAGACTAACCTCCAGTAGATAAAGAAATGCATCACATGGTAGGACTCTCTAAAATAACTCACCTGGATTTTTTTTGTGTGTGTTTGTTTTAGTTAAGATGTACAAGGGTGGGTGCTATAGCCTGGATCTGAAAACATTCCTAAGGTCCAAGTGTCAAAAGCTTATTCTTCCAAGTGGAGCTACAGGGAGGTGGTAGAGGTTGTGTCTAATGCGAGCTCATCAGGAACAAGCACTTGAAGCACAGACTGTAACCTTGGCCCGTCTTCATCCTTTTTTCTCTGTCACATACTCTGCAGCAATGTGCTGCTTCACCACAGGCCCCAAAACAACAGTACCTATTACAGTGGACTGCAACCTCCAAAGCGAGCCAAAACAAATCTCCTTTGTAAAGTTTTTTAAAGATGTATTTTGTGAATTTTGCGAGTATGTCTGTCTATGCATCACAGGCATGCCTGGTGTCTGCAGAGGCCAGAAGAGGGCACTGGATTCCCTGGAACTGGAGTTAGAGATGCTTGTGAGCCACTATGTGGGTGCGAGTAATCAAACCTGGGTTCTCTGCAAGATGAACAAGTGCTTTAAACCACTGAGTCATCTCTCCAGCCCTCTTCTTCTAAAAAAATAGCAATCAAAACCTGATTTATTTTTTGTTTATAGGTATGTGTTTATATGCCACATTGTTGAGTGCCTGCAGACAAGAAGAGGGTGTTGGATCCTCTAGAGCTGGAGTTACAGGTGGTTCTGAGCTATCTGACATGGGTGCTGGGAACCAAATTCAGGTCTTCTAGAAGAGCAGTACATGTTCTTAACTGCTGGCCATCTCTCCATCTTCTTTATAAATTAACTTCATGTATGTAGCTATGGAAAACTGACTACCAGTGAGAAGGGGAGAGAAAATCTTAGAGGTTAAAGAGAATCAAACACAGCATAGAGACATTGGCAAGGATCTAAGTGCTCTTTCTGGAAAACTCATACATGACTGGAGACTGGATACTAGTTTGTTTTGTTGAGACAGTCTCATGTAGTAGCCCAAGCTGACCTTAAACTCACTATGTAGCTAAGGATGACCTTGAACTTCTGATCCTTTGGCTTCCACCTCCCAAGTGCTGGAATTACAGGCATGCACTACTGTTTTCAGATCAGAATGGCTCAGTTTTTTGGCCAGGTAAAGAACTGGGTTATACAGCTGTGGTGGTGGTTTGAATGAGAATGGCCCCTACAGGCTCATACTTGGTTTCCAGTGGGTGGAACTGGGAAGAATTAGGAGAGGTGGACTTGCTGGAGGAGGTGTGTCACTTGAAGTTTCAAAAGACTCACACTATTCCTAGTATCCCTCTCTCTGACTCCAATTGGTGGGTTAAGATGTGAGCTCTCAGCTGTTCCTGCTGCCATGTCATTGCTCTGCCCTCATGGACTCCAGCCCTCTGAAACTGTAAGCCCTAAAATAAACATTTCTTTTAGAAGGTGCCTTGGACATGGTGTCTTACAACAGCAACAGACAAGAAACCAAGACAACAAACTTATCAATTTAGGACATCATTTTTTATGTTTCTGTGGGTTCCTCTAGAAATAGTTCTGTAAACACACACAAATAAGGCCAGTATTACAACAACCCATTGGTGGCTTGGCTATCCAGGTATATTTATATATTTCTTCAAAAAAATTTTTTTTACATTTGCAACTTTTGCTAACTGAAACACTGGAAGAACTAAAAAAAAAAAAAAAAAAGAGAGATTTATTTTTATTTCTTTGAGATTGGGTCTCTGTATAGTCTTAGTTATCCTGGAACTCTCTATGTATACCAGGCTGGCCTCAAAAATCAGAGATCTGCCTGCCTCAGTCTCCTGAGTGCAGGGATTAAAAGTGTACACCACCACATCCAGCTTACCAATTTTATGTGTATGAGTGTGTGCCTCATGCCTATGGAGGCCAGAAGACAATGTTGGATCCCCTGGAACTGAAGTTACAGATGGTTATAAGCCTTCATGTGGGTGCTAAGAACCTAATCCAGGTCCTCTGTAAGAACAGTAAGTGTTTGTAACTGCTGAGACATCTTTCCAGCTCCACTGAGAGAAATCAGAAATGATGGGGCACCTCATGGACCTACCCTTCATAGGCACCTACCACCACTATCCCCTCCGCAACCCCAGATGACTCCATCATGAAAGATGCTAAGGCATGCCGGGAAATGGATATAAATTAAGGGTTTATTACAAAATGAAAAATGTTAGTTTCTCGTTGTCAGTGATTCAAAAACAAAGCCACAAGCCCTTCATGGAGCTGAGGCCAGGACACCTGTGTGCAGGCTGGTGGTCAAAAGCCAGGCTCATGAGCGGGCTGACAGACACTGATTAACGACCTCCAGCAGGTGGGTATTCTCCAGGGCAGCTGCCACTCGCTCCTTATCTGCAAGCTGTTTGTTCACTAGGAAGGAAAGAGGGGTGGGAAAACAGGGTTAAAGGAACTCCAGCAGGGCTTCTAGCCTCAGTACAGATTACATCTCTACCAATAAAGGTCTCTTATCACCTTCCGAGGACTCCAAGCCTTCATCAGGCTATCCTTATCACCTGTGCCCATACTCTTTTATTTGTCAGGAATACCCCACATACCTCCAGGGACTGCTCAGTCTGCGCCAGTATTTCCTGAAGCCTGACACAATGTCCGTGGGGAATATGGAAGGGGAGTTTATGGGAAGCAGGAGACTTAAGTCAGGCCAGTTTGGTCTAGGCTGTAGTCTGGCAATTTTATTCACTTAGACCCCTAGTCCTAACCTCCCTTATATACTACTGTAGCAAAGGGGAAGTCTCATACAGTTGGGGACCTAAGGGGGAAAAAAAAAATCAACATCCATCCCCACCAGCCCACACTAACCTGCATGCTCCGAGGCATGGGTCCCAGGTGTAATGTGCACATCCATCTGGGAGAAAGACAACCCGGGCCTGAGCACTTATTCATCTGTCCTTTTTTTTTTTTGGTTCCCTTCCCTCCAGACACGACCTCCATATCATCCTTTCCAATCACTCCTCTGGATTCTGGCCCTTCTGTCCTACCCCAAGCCCACCTGCAGTCAATGCACTTCTACCCAAGGACCTGGTTAGCTGCTGTTGCCCCTCTACAGCTGCCCTTTCTGCCACACTCCTCACTATTTTCTGGAGAATTTCCTGTATTCTTGTCACATCGGCTTGGCGTTTCCTCGCAGTTCATCTCTGCGAGTTGGGATCCTTCCAGTCTCCACTCTGCTGTCCCCTCTCCTCAGTAGCTGTTTCACCCTTAGGCTGGACTCCAACTGACCTTGAAACGCTGGGGAAGGGATCGAAGAAGCTTGACTTTGATGGAAAGGCCAATAAGCGTGGCCATGCTGCAGTGTGGAATGGTGGGTGTGAAAGCCACTGCCACTGTGCTCTCGGGGTCGCTAACCTGCATCGACAAGGGAGACTGTAAAGATCACATGACCGCCCCCAGCACAGAGACCCTCCCTTTAGTTTATTGATTTGAGCAAGTTACCTAACTGTCATGGACTTCAGGTTTAACATCCATAAACTGGAAAAACACCCTCCCCACCCCAAGATCCTCTTAGGTGCTTGTGAATGGAGAACGCCGGCCTCTAATGCATAATGGAACCTTTTAAACTACTTGAACAAGCTCTCACTCTCTGATACTGTTGGTGACTCACCTGAATCCGAACTTGCTCTACTACGTTCAATTCCTCCAGTGTCAGTGGATGCTCCGGGTCATTAATGGAGCGAATAAGATGTGCCAAGTGAAGGAAAAGGGACTGACTCTAAGTTTCGGCCCATTCAGAACCTCGGCAGGCATGCCTGACCGGGACAACCCTCCACCAGCGTGTTGCACATCACTTCTTCCCGGTACCCCAAGCCCCCACCGGCCCGCCAGCGCCCAGCAGCGGCGGATATCAAAGATCTCGCGGGCGTCGATGCTGTCCGGCACCTGTTCGTCTTCCTCCCCCGCCGTCACTGGACGCTCCCCCGAGCGCTCATAGATGAGGGGGTTGGCGTTCTCTAGGAGCCCGCCGCGACCCCCGCCGCCGCCACCGCCGCCGCCGCCCACCATCCTGGAACTGCGGTTCCCACAACCCCCGGGTGGTGTGTACTTCCGCTCCTACGGCGCACTTCCTGGGAATGAGGAGAGGGCGTGGTGTGACTACGGGGTCGCGCAAGGGACATGCCAGGCTCCCGGGACTCGGCGGGTAGTTTGCAAGTAGCAGTGTATTTGTCGTGCCTGCTCCTCGGAGCCGGGAAAACGCTGGTAGCTCTCGCCAGGACACCAGAAGAGACTCCTGCGGCTCTCCGGCTGTCTCGGAACCGTAGGTCCACAAAAGACACGCTGGTTTCCCCGAGCAGGGATCGGCAGGCACTCATTACATGCTTTTTGAGTAGACAAGCGACCATGAGCGTGAATTCCACTGGAGAAGAAGGCCTACAGGGGAGGAGTGTTATTAAAAAAAACCGTCAAATTCAAGTATGAGTTGGGGAAGGCCTACGTAGCCTCACACCAGGAACTAAAATAGATAACATGGTGTATACTTGAAGGTGGACCCCGTAAACTATGAGTCCTGAAAGCAAAAAGGATTTTTTGGACGGAAGCCCGCCCCACACTCCACCCCGCGCTCCCAGTGTGTGCACACGAATACTCTCCACCCAGTTAAATCCCCCAAAGGTCCGCCTATTCTCCATCTGAGGCCCGACCACGGACCACTTAGAGCTTTTTTGCATTCTTCTTCCAGCCAAACTCCCACAGTAAGAATGTGGTTACAGGGGACGTTAACACAGCGATTCAAGACTTAAGACAAAGGTTCCTGGTGTCTTAACGGGATTCATACCATTGCCCCCTGGGAGGAGGCTGTCCCCTGCTTGCTGGTCAGAGGCACACTGCAGCCTGTGAACTTAGCCTATTCAGGAACTCTCCTGCAGGCACACCCTGTGCCCAGCCTACAGTGCCCAGGTCACACTTCTCCTGGAGGAGGCCTTGATATGCTGTTGCCTGTCTGTGAGACACAGCATGTCTAACGGCAGTGCAGACACAAACCAAGACGCTGAAGATAATGTGGCCAGACAGACTCTCTGGCTGTTTAAACGCTGTGGTTTGTGGGCCCTTGATTCTCCCCTTGCCAGTGCAGCAGAAGACCCTCGCAGGGGACAGAGACTTGAGTGGGAATTACACAATTGTGTAAAGTGGAGGCCGAGATTGAAGGTGAGGATGCACCATGGAGAGGAGCTAGAAGAGGAATAGTGCACCCACCCAATGAATGCCAACAACGTTTAGACATCCAGGATCTCTTGTAGCATTTGGAGGGGCAGATATTTCTGAGGACACCCAGTACAGAATCCAGTCAAGCATAGGAGCTCTGAGGAGTGCCTGTCTTGGAGGTTAGAAACCTTTGGGTAGAGGTGGGTGGGTGAGGGTTGGTACATTTTCATTCTCTGTGAGTGGCTGTGGAAGTGGTTGGATCCGTTAAACACCAAAGGATAATGATGGTAATAATACTGTCCCTCTGGCATTTGGTTCTGAATGTGCTCTCCAGCACTGACTGATGAACAAGGCTCACAGCAAGGTTCCTTGTCCAAGGAGATGCAGAAACCCCCAGCCCCCACATCCCACACTTGCACTAGGAGGCCCCAGTGTTCTGTTCTTCATGTGATTGACCTGAACGTGGGGCAAAAGAGTGGCTTCGCTTCCAGGGCAAAGGAGATGTGTCAGGCAGTCTGTGGGCCCTATTAGTATCTGAGCCAGGATGGCACTATGTCCAGGGTGTGTGTGCAGCCCTTTATGTCTCTCACCCCAGGACATCCTAATGTGGACCCTGGTGATCCCTGCTAGGCCACTTGAATCTGCTCTGCTCTGAGGAGACAGTACTTGCTTTATCCCTCAGCTCCTCCCTAACAGACTTTCTCCTTTGCCAGCTGTCAGCTAGCATATGGAGGTCACCAGTGCCTTGGCAGGCAGAAACTTCAGCCTGACCCCATCCTGTTTCCTGTTTAGAAAAATCTTTGGCTCTGACTCCTGTGGTCAGATCACTCACAACCACTAGAGGGCAGAGTTGGGTCCCATCCTCTCTGTCCCACCCAGACTTGGTTTCTCAGGGACCATCAAGCTGGCAGGGTCTTATTGAATGTCCAGGATGTACAGGAGTGAGCACTTATGCTGATTTTTCACAATATGGTCACAAACTTCCACCCTTTCTGGAGCCGGGCTTTCTCACTAGCAGACAGCTCATTTCATCTTGCAGCATGGCACAACTTTCTCAGGAGGATTCTCCCTTGAAGAAAAAGCATTAATAAGGAGAATCTCCAAACAGGACCATTTTAATAAGGTCGTCTGTTGCTATAACAAGAGTCAAGAATCAGTGTTGCTTCAGTTCGTTCATTCAGAGATGCCATCCATACTGTGAAGATGCTTGACTGTGGGTGTCTGAAATGAGGATGGGGGTGTCAGGAGGCCCAGACATGTCCATCAGAAGAGATTGCTCTCCCCTGTCTCCCTGAGCATCTATTCATCTATTGAGGGCCCTTCTGCCTTTTACAGTTCCCTGCACACTTCTGGTTCCTGTGACACTCCTATTCTCCGTGGTCTTCCAGTCATTAATTTCCATTCTTACCTTATTTTCACTCTAAGTTTTTTATTTATCCTCTAAACAAAACAAAACTCCTCTTTTCTATTTTGTCTTTATATAAAAATGCCAAATCGTGTTGTCTGCAAGTGTTTTCCTAAAACATTTTATCTCTGTCATCACACAGCTAGATCCTTCTTCCTATAGAGCTGAGATGGCCATAGCCTCTTGCCTCTGAGAAACTGCCTTTCTGGGGTTCTAGTTTTCCCAGGTACTCCAAGTCCCTCTTTTTCATCCACTGTTTTGAAGACCAATCACAGGAAATCATGAAGTGACAACTCTTGCATTGCTCTTCTTGGACACTAGAGGGCAGACAAAGATAAAGTTCCATAAGGTGCTAGATAGCCTCTGAGCACAGGAAGACAGCTACCTGATAGTTCTGCTGGAGCCTGAATTTACTGCTGGTTGCAAGGACATTTCAGCAGATGAACAGGGCACTTCACCAAGAGTGTTAGCAGGGGACTACTTCTTCTTCCTCCTCCTCTTCCTCCTCCTCCTCCTCCTCCTCCTCCTCCTCCTCCTCCTCCTCCTCCTCCTCCTCTTCTGCTTCTTCCTCTTCCTCTCCTTCTCCTCCTCCTTCCGCCCTTCCTCCTCCTCCTCCTCCTCCTCCTCCTCCTCCTCCTCCTCCTCCTCCTCCTCCTCCTCCTCCTTTTTTCCAGACAGGGTTTCTCTGTGTTGTTTTGTCCTGGAACTTGCTCTGTAGACCAGGCTGGCCTGGAACTCACACAGATCCGCCTGCTTCTGCCTCCCGTGTCCTGGGATCAAAGACATGTGCCACTACCACTGATCTGCATGGAATTTTTTAGATTTGGGTAATAGTCTTAATTTTGTAGAACTTTATTGTCAAATGATAAATATGCACTCAAATTCACTCATTTATTCCATAGCTTAGTATATTGGAATAGAATATGAGGCATGTAACCACACCCACTTCAGGTATACATATTTATTTTCTGACTAAACAACAAACATTTCTCTATGTTCCTTTTCATAAACCATGGACCAGAACCCTGTTCCCTGGCAACCAACTGACTTCTTTCTGGAGTTGAAGTTTGGAAATAGAATATAATTCAGAAACATCAGAGTCTTGTCTACCCTATCACAGAGAAGAATCATGTGTGAGAGGTTCTGTCACTGAGATAATGTCTTTGAGATTCAAATGGCATTTTCCTTTGATGGTGAGTGAACACACCACTTGTTGGAGCACATCTGAGTGACATTAGGTTTGGGCTACTTTAATCAAGCTGTCATGCTCTTGTTCAAACAAGACTTTGACTGGGCATGTTGGTACATGCCTTTAATCCCAGCACTCAGGAGGTAAAGGCAGGTGAATCGGTGAGTTTGGGCCAGCCTGGTCTATAATGTGAGTTCTCAGACAACCTGGGCTCTGTAGAGATAACCTGTCTCAAAACCAAACAAAATACAAGCAAACAAACAAAACCCATGACTTGATGTGATGCCATTCACTTGTTTCTTCAGGCTAAATTCCTGAAAGTAGAACTGTTGAGTCACAGAAGAAAGGTGTTGAACTTTCAGAGAAGATGTGAAGTTGCCATCCCCAATCACCATGTAATCATTTTCCTTCCATTCTAGCCATGTGTAGCTGTATCAGATGCTCAATGGCTTTGCCAACACTTTTGCTTATGGGTCATAATCTGGTTATAATGATTGGGTGTGTAGTGGTGTCTCATTTCAGACACTTCCCTGAGCTTTACTCCCTTCCCTCTACACACACACACACACACACACACACACACACACACACACACACACACACACACACTGACAATTTCCTCATATTCAGAACATGACTGATGAGACTCTCCAGTCCACATTTCCTATGGTCTTTCCATCATCAATGCAGAGCCTCTGAAGCCAGTGCAGTAAGTAGCAGAGTGCACGGGGACCCTCCTCCAGCTTGGTGCAGAAGCCCAGGATTCGGAAGATTACCATGCTGTCCAGTTAACTGAAGAAACTGGTCCTAGGACAGGGAGCTTGGAGGAGCTGAGGGCCTTCAGCCTCCATACTCCAGCTGTTCCTCAAACAGGGAATTGAGGGCAGAGAGAGCATTGCCTAGGCAGGAGCTGTGACCACAGAGTGTGCTGAGGAGGAGACAGCAAACTGAGAGCAGGGTGATAGGACAAGCCGTGGTTGTACCATACCAGGGAAATGACCAGAAAACTGCCATAGATTAAGTCTTTCTGTGTGGTTCTGTGGGTTCTGTAGACCTCTGGGGGACTGGAAAATGGAACCAAAGCCCGTTCTTAGGTGGCTCTAAAGTCTTTCTGAGATTGGACCTCATGACATTACATTTGGAAAATCAGGATGGGCTAGGTGGGAGCTCCTGATTGTGTCCTTTCAGATGTAGTCTGCCAAGGTTCACCATGTTTCTGAAACTCCTGCTCAATGGCCTGCATTTGGACTTTAATTCAGGCCCCAAGAGCCCAGACTGTCCTCAGTATTAGAGCCAGCAGGCTCCAGTGCATGTGGGTTAGCACCTGTGAACTGGAGAGAAGCTGGCCACCGGAGTAGCTACAGTAAAGAGGCCAAGTGACTATGGTATGGTGGCAGAGTTGCAGTGTGATTCATGAACAGTCAAGGCACAGCTGGGAGGGGCACATGAAGACCCTAAGATCAATGTAAGTGTTGAGGAACCCATAACTGGGACTCAGGAACTGTAAGTCTGAAAGCAGGGAGGTGTTCTCAGGGTGGTGGGTATGGGCATGCAGTTCCCCTTTACCCAGGTCACATTTCCTCAGTTCCATTCCATTCTCAATCTGTGACATCCTGAGAATGCATCTACTCAGAAAAGCCCCCAGCTTCTCCAGTTATAGCTTTCTGCTTCACCCTCTTTCCCCCAATATGTTTTGTAGTCCTGTGACTGCTTAATAAGTCTGATATGGGGACTCCAGATTGGGAAAGAGGGCTTCAGAGTCCCTGCTGTGCCTCCCAAGGGGACTAAAGGAAGAGCAGGAATGGGAGGCAGCTTTGCCTCACTTGCTGCTCATTGGTTCCCACCATGCAGCCCAGCCAGTAGAGTTCAAGGTCCTTGGCCTGGACTGCCCCGCCCTCTGTCCCCACTCAGACTATCTCCTTTGGTTCAAAGTTCCTGAAGGGGCAAGTGCATATATTTGTGACATTTACAGGAGGTTGATCACACACAGCAGCACAGACTCAGGACTGGGAGCTAAGCATGCCTTCAGACAGACTTCCTGGATGGCTGAATTCTCTGACTTGTGGGCTTCTGCTTGTCTTCTCTGTGCAGGGTGAGACTACCTAGGGAGGAATGGGGGACCCATGTCCAAGCTGCCAAAACTTGATAAGAGTTATATGCTGAGGTTGCAGGACTGAAAGTACCAGGGAGGAAGAGACCGTGGGAGGACATGGCAGTGTGGGAAATATGAATCTCCTAATTCCCTACAAAAGTCCAGAGTCTAGCCCCTCTACCAAACAAGGGGTCTGGGAGGACAGAGGACCTCCAATACTGAGAAGTTACCCCACCATGATGGGCTCTCAGTTGTGTTGGATATAAATGTCAAGGGATACAGGAACAGAGGGGACATTTCCTCTCTGTGTGTCTGAAACTGTAGCTGCTACTGACTTGGATAACAACAGCATAACTTCATGCTGCTGAAGAGTCCTCATGTGTCACTCTCAGAATAGAGACGTGCCATGGCACTCCTCAAATACCCTGCCCAAGGTACTGGCTGCCACTAAGGTATGCAGACAGTCCCAGTCCTACAACCTACAGTTGTACCTAGAAATCTGGGTTCCCTTCTCCATGTTCCTTACCTGGGTCTTGGTTTCTGGGGAAAGTAGCATGTCCTTTGGGAGAGTCAACAATTTTCAGGTCCTTATCAGAGCTGAGTCAGAGGGCACTGTGCTCAGGGTGTGTGTGCAACCCTTGATACCCCTTACAAATCCTCTTAGTGTGATTACTGGTGACCTCTAGACAGGCCTCTCCACTAAGGAGACTGCACTCACCTCAGCCTGGGACTCTTGCCTGTTGTTGCCAGGGTTCAGGGCATCACCATCACCTTCTAGACAGCAGGTTCTGCCAGACTCACTCATGGCTGTTATTTTATGTTGTTTGTTTGAATGTTTGGATTCAGAATCACCGACAACTATAAGAAGAAAAAGATTCATGTCCCATCCCCTCTATACCTCCCAGGCCTCTCTGATCCACAGGGACAGCAAATAGCAGAGTCTGACATGTAGTGCCCAGGATTACTCAAGAAGAAGAGCGTGATCTGGGTGTAGCCACACAGCTGCAAATTTAGCACCCAGGAGGTTGAGACAGGAGGATCTCCAACTACAAAACCAGTCTGGACTACTTAGCAAGAACTTGTGTCAAGAAAATAAAGAACAAACTAGCAAACAAACAAAAAACAAACAAACAAAGGAAAGCAGAAAATGAAATTTCTTCATCTGTGTTTGATATCACCTGTTGGTCATAAACTCTGTCCCTGTTCTGGGTTATGGCTTACAGCCTCTGGTGGGAAGGACAGTTTACCAGATTTCATGTGAACTTTATAGAGATCTTTTCTGTGAGGATGAAACATCGTGCATGCAGCTAGGCTACATGGGATAATGTTCAGCGTGACCGAATAGTCCCTCTACTGGCTCACATACAGTTGATGCAGAGGAGACTGTGTCATTGCCACATATATGGCTCAGGGCAGGAAGCTCATAGGGCTGAATGATGTCCTTGAGTCCCATGGTGCCTAGTTGAGTCTGGTGAATGGACTAGACCTGGAGGTACCTCAGTGAAGACTGTAAGAGGTAGGAAACATGTAAATCCTGTGTTTTCAGTCCAGGGTGTTTTGATGTGGCTGAGCAGAGGATAGAAAGGGCAGAGCAACAAAAGTGGCCTATTGGGCAGACTAACTGAGCTGTCACCTCTTTATTTACAGGCCAGGACTCATCCAGGCCCATCAGGAACACACACACTGGACAGGTGCAGGGTAGCCTTGTCCACTTGGAGGATATCAACACGGGAGTCCACACTTTCCTGGGAATTCCCTTTGCCAAGCCACCTGTAGGACCTCTGCGGTTTGCTCCTCCTAAGCCCCCTGAACCATGGAGTGGTGTGAGGGATGGAACTTCCCATCCTGCCATGTAAGCTCTTCTGGGGCCCAGTAGACTTCAGGCCCAGGAGTGGGCTAGTGATCTGATTATGGCCCAGACTGCAGTGGTTCCTACTTCTCAATCCCACATCCTGTTCCCCTTCTTCATGGAGTAGGGGGATTCCCACTTACATTTTATTAAGTGCCTGCTCAGATTCTGAATGGAACAACCAGTGCCAGGCTCAAGGTTCAGTGCTTTGCCCACACAAGGAGCTAGCCTTGAGTACTGCAGATGGGAGCACAGGCACATTTGTCTTGAGAGTCAGGTTATGTCATGTGTCTCTGACACTAGGGGAATGTCTCTGGGAGGAGATCAGACTCCATCACTTAACCAGAAGAACTCCTTTTTTATAGCAGAGACTGAAGAATCCTAAATAGTGAAGCAGTGGTCCCCAAAGGACAGTACCCTCCACAGTCACTGTGCCAACCCATATGAGCAGATGTCGATTGACAAGAACAAGTGCATATGCTAACAATGAGGAGGCCTGTGGGAGAGATGAGGAACCCTGAAAATGGAAATTTTAGATAAATGAGCTCCTACTACCTTGTGGGAAACTAATTGATACCCATTTATGCAATAGCACTGTAAGGACAACTCACCTTTTCAGGCCTTAATAGGGATAGGGAGAAGTGGTAAATATTTCAAAACCCATGGTCAAAGGGTGCCATGAAGACTCCTAGGACCCTCAATTTCCTGAACTCCCAATAAATAGAATAGGATGTGAGATCATCCAAATCTCTATCTGCATGCAGTTCTGGACTCCATCACAGCTTCCCCAGCGTGAGACCTTTATCTGTGAAGGAGTGACTTTATTTTATTTACTTATTATTTTATGGATATGGGTGTTTTGCTGCATGTATGTCTATGTTCCATATGCTTTCAGTGTCCCCAGATCTCCTGAGACTAGGGTACAGGGTTGTCAGCTGTCATGTCAGTGCTGGGGATCTAACCCAGGTCCTCTGGAAGAACAGCCAGGGCTAGTGACCACTGAGCCATCACTCCAGCCCCAATAGGGTCGTTAGAAAATGATGTCATATTCCCAGCAAGTAGTTTTCTAGGAGTAAATCTACCCTGTAGCTAAAGTTTTCCTGTTTCCACCCAGCTCCTGCAGCCGCTCAGACCCAAGTAAACACACAAAAACTTATATTACTTATAAACTGTATGGCTGTGGCAGGCTTCTTGCTAGCTAGATCTTATATCTTAAATTAACCCATTTCTATCCATCTATATCTTGCCACGTGGCTTATGGCTTACCGGTACTTTTACATCTTTCTTCCTCTGTGTCTGACTGGTGATTCCTGACTCAGCCTTTCACTTCCCCAAACCCTCCTCTCTTTTTGTCCTGCCTATTCTTCCTGCCTGGCCACTGGCCAATCAGCACTTCATTTATTACCCAATTAGAGCAACACATTAAACACAAAGAGCATCCCACAGCACTACCCAGTTTCTTGCTTTAACTACAGTTCAGTCCTTGGAATAGTTAATTGTTTATTATCATCAACAGGTGTCTACAGAATATCAGTGTATTGAGTGCATTAGCCCAGACCCCATTCACAAGCACCCCACCTCTTCTTTCTATGTCTGAAGACTGCCTGTACCTCAACATCTACTCACCTGTTCATGCTTCTGAGGACTCCAACCTCCCTGTGAGTATCAGGCCATGACTAACTAGAGGTGGAAGGACATTTCCTCTGAAGGAATATAGAGGGCTAAGATCATTCTGGGTTTGCTTCAGTAAAGACCCTGGCATTATGTTCAAGAATTCCTTCTTTCTCACAATAGACAGTTAACTCATGGGCTTAGGGACAGAAATCCCTGGAGGCACCGAGAAGTCAGAGTCTGTAACAATGTATTCAGGGCTTGTGCTCAGAAAACTCAATTAGATTTTCCTGAGATGAGCTTTGGATTATCCAAGTAATAAAAATTGACTCATCTGTTTGGCAAGTAAGATGGGGGTACTTGTTTTATTTCCATAAGTGACCATGAAAGACACATGTCTTTCCTTCTCTGAGGGTGTCCTAGAGAATCGGAGACAGATTTTGGTTCAGGTGACAGACAAAAGGTTGAGAATTTTTTCTTCCTTTTGGAATTTGGAGCTTTCACCAGATCATAACAGCTGGGACCTGTCTATGTGAGCAGTTTCAGAGAAAAAGCAATAGGTATTCTAGATGACAAGTGGCACTTGGGCTGGTAAGAGAGTGATCTATTATTATTATTATTATTATTATTATTATTATTATTTACCAGGTGATGGTATGGATCCATGGTGGAGGACTGGTTCTGGGCATGGCTTCTATGTATGATGGATCGAAGCTAGCAGCCATTGAGGACATAGTGGTGGTCACTATCCAGTACCGCCTGGGTATCCTGGGTTACTTCAGGTGAGCCCATGGCTGGGCAGGGAATTGGAAGCTGGGCAGAAACAGGACAGCCCTATGATTCCTTCCCCTGCCACTTCTCAGCACTGGGGATGAGCATGCCAGAGGCAACTGGGGCTACCTGGACCAAGTGGCCGCCCTGCGCTGGGTCCAGCAGAACATCGCCCACTTTGGAGGCAACCCTGACCAGGTCACTATTTTCGGCGAGTCAGCAGGTGGCGCAAGCGTGTCTTCACTTGTTTTGTCCCCAATGTCCAAAGGACTCTTCCACAGAGCCGTTATGCAGAGTGGAGTGGCCCTGCTGCCTGGTCTCGTCTCCCAGTCTGCTGAGGTGGTCTACACAGTGAGTTCCCTCAATTCTCCCCATCCTAGTCCTCTGTCCCAGCCCTCACTCTCAGAACTGCTGGTTCTGCCTGCTCTCTGAATGCAGTAAATATAGAGATACCTAGGACTTTCTTTTTCCTTCTTCCTTGCTGAAGGTTTCAAGGGTCAGACTGCATACACCTCTGCCTCACCTAGCTGAATATTTTCTCTGTCCCAAACAGTTGTACCTAGTATCTCGCATTGTGTCCAGATGCACTGCAGCAGGTGCATTAGCTCCCCTGTCTATCTCATATCAACACTGGGGAAGTGGGAACAATTGCATTCCTTCTGTAACCCACACACTTTACCCACTGTGATTTGTGGGGAATCCACACTAACTAGGATTATTAGGAAAACTTTCCCTGCTTGGAAGGATGAACAGGCTCCTGTTTGTGCTCTGTACAGATGGTGGCCAACCTCTCTGGATGTAATCAGATGGATTCAGAGTCCCTGGTGGGCTGTCTGAGAGGCAAGAGTGAAGAGGAGATTCTGGATATCACCAAGGTTTGATTGCATGGTGCTAGTGTCTTGGAAGGGGTCTGATAGGGAGTGAAACAGAAAGTCCTTTTTACTCGGAGATAATGTAGCTAATGTGCATATCTTGATGCCCTTGTAGCTGTCAATGCAAAATGGATACAAGTTCAACTAATCCAGGGATATGAATGGAAATCATGGGATTATTTGACATCAGAAAATATCTGGACCATGAATTTGATCCCTCACCTTGAATGCCCCTCAGGTCTTCAAGATCATCCCTGCTGTGGTGGATGGAGAGTTCTTTCCCAGGCATCCTGAGGAGCTGTTGGTCTCCGCTGATTTTAGACCTGTCCCCAGCATCATAGGTGTCAACAATGATGAGTATGGCTGGGACATCCCAACTGTGAGTCCAGATACAACTCCTTGATTAAGTGATTGGATGGGAGAGGGTGCTCAGAGCTCCACAGCCCCAACTACACCTTATTTGAAAAATCAACTTGAACTTTTCCATCCACCTCTCAGTACCTGTGCAACATTGATACTGGGGAAAAAGTGGACAGAGAGACCATTCAGGCTGTTCTACAGAGCACACCAACAAAACTGGTAAGACTCTTAATATTGTGGGCCAGTGACAGCGAGCTTCTAGTTATCTGCCATTGCCAAGAGCCACTTGAGCAAAGAATGGGGTATACTTCTGTTTTGTAATGGTGTCCCCCTTAATTTGTCCTTTACTCAATTACCTTCTCCCATCTCAGACCCCTCTCTCTTCACCTGAGGATACTGATGCCTGGTGCTGAAGTTTTCCTAACACATCTTTTCTGGATCCCTCTGAACTAGATGATGCCTCCTGATTCTGCTGACATTCTGGTAGAGGAGTATTTGGGAGACACTGAAGACCCTGAGATTCTCCTAGCACAGTTCAAGGAGATGATGGAAGACTCCGTATTTGTGGCCCCTGCCTTGCAAGTAGCACATGCTCAGAGTGAATACATCTATAAATATGACTCTGGGTTGGCACTCTAGCTAGTGGAAGAATACTTATTTCTTATGCATAATGCCACATGGTTAATCTACTGTAGTGTCACAAAGAAAAAGAGGCCTGATTCCAAGGAGAGGTCTCAGAGCTGTGGGTCCAAGGACATCCCTCTGGTGTCTTTATTTGTTCTTTGGTCCCAGGCTTCTGAGGACTCAGTAAATCCTCATGTCTAGTGTAAGAACATGATACCTTTACCAGGCACAATGAGGAAAGTGAGGTTATGATGCGCTAGAACTTCCTCTAACTACTCAAGGTCATGATTTAACCAAGGCCTTTCCAAAGGCTCATGGTTTAGCCTTGTAGTCCACACTCCGATAAACTCCCAGCCATTGTGACAACTTTAGATCAAGGCATCTTACATAAAGGATGAGAGAGGATAGGTCCAGGAAAGAGACTACTACGTCACGATGTGTCTACACTTCTAGGTCCTCTTGCCCCTGTCTACTTCTACGAGTTCCAACACTCACCCAGCTTCTTCAAAGATGTCAGACCATCTCATGTGAAGGCTGACCATGGTGATGAGGTTTTCTTTGTCTTTGGATCCTCCTACTGGGGCAGCAAATGTGAGTTTTCCCTTTTTTCCATTAGTAGGATGGGGATCCAGGTGAGTACAGAAGAATGACTGAGCTCACTCTCCAAGTGAAGAAACTGAGGGTCTTGGAGAGCCTATCACAGCCATCTTATAGCTCTAAATGCTGTACTAGGATTATAATCTGAATCCTTTACAATTCAGACTTTACTTTCTGTCCCTGTCCCCACCCTTATCATGGTGTCAGGCCTGTCATCAGAGATGGACAATTTATGCCATGATGTTTCCTTAAATGACTATGCAAGAGCAAAGAAAGAGCCTCTGGACTGAGAATAAGCTGAGGTAGAGGGGGTGGGTTCAGTTAGAGGCTGGGGCAAGTAAGGGGAGTGTTAGAAATGGAAGAACCTGAATCCCAGCAGATGGGGAACATGCACACTGCAGTTAGGCTGTAGTTGGGATTGTGGATGTGGCAGGTGTATGGGGCGACTAGGACTTGAACATTTCTTTTCCTCATGGCTGCAGTTGACTTCACTGAGGAGGAGGAGCTGCTGAGCAGGAAGATAATGAAGTACTGGGCCAACTTTGCAAGACATGGGTGAGAAGACACACCCCCTGAATCTCTCAGGGCCTTCTCCTCTTTGTGGTAGCCTCAGGAGCAGTATAGATCCTTTATCACATGACAGGTTATTCTTCAGGGGGAGGTTCCTCTCACACAGTGGTCCCATATGAGTGTCAGTCAATAGTCATATCCCTGTGACTTGGTGTGTGTGGCTAAACTGCTCTAGTTTTATATACATGAGCCCGTTATAGAAAGAAAGGAAAAAAATCCCAGATGGTCTTGCCCCTAATGGAGTGACACTACTGGGAGTTTCTTTTTTGCCTCTATCCTGAGACCATCCTTCTGTTTCCTTAAATTCTGGCCTGTTTCATACACCATATTGACCCAAAGTAGGGGATCAAGTCTGTTCACAGCATAACTCATAGTGATCCTCACCGCACCCTAACATGGGGGTGTGTCCACAGGAACCCCAACAGCATGGACCTGCCCCACTGGCCTGTGTTTACCCAGGATGAGCAGTACCTGCAGCTGGACATCCAGACTACTGTGGGCTATGCTCTGAAGGCCAGCAGGATGCAGTTCTGGACCAAGACTCTGCCTCAGAAGATCCAGCAGCTGAAGGATGTTGAGAACAAGCACGCAGAGCTATAGCATGTTATGCACCATAGTGGAGTGTCCTGAGTAGAAGTGGAGTCAACCTGAGGTGCCCCCACACTCAGAAGAGAGGGCTGACTCCATCCTTCATGTGTCCATGCATCCCCTCTTCATGTGTCTGTTCAGCTCACACTTAAGTGTGTCACTGGTACCCTGTTTGTCTGGGTCCTGTCTTGTTTCATGTGTTCAATAAATTCCCCATGACAGTGTGTTTGTGTGAGCCCCAGCGGATGCCAACATTGCTTTGTGTCCTAGTGGACCTGCATCTCTTCCTCTCTTCTTTACCTCATCTTCTCCCAACCCTCGTTCTCCTCTTCCCAAATCCTACATTTCTTCAAATGAAACAAAAGCTTTGGATGATTTTGAACACATCAGGTGTGTGTGGGTACACAGGTAAAACCCTGTGTACATCTCACAGGAAATCCCTATCTGTAGCTGGAGTTTTCTCTCTGGGTCCCGCCAAGCCCCGGCAGTTCGTCCGACAGCCCACTTATAAAATAAACACACAGACGCTTATATTATTTACAAACTTTATGGCCGTGGCAGGCTTCTTGTTGACTGTTCTTATATCTTAAATTAACCCATTTCTATTAATCTATAAGTTGCCGCGTGGCCTGTGTCTTACTGGTATCTTAACATTTGCTTCTCATTGTGGTGGCTGGCAGCGTCTCTCTGCCTCAGCCTTTCACTTTCCAGAATTCTCCTCTCTCCTTGTCCTGCCTATACTTCCTGCCTGGCTACTGGCCAATCAGTGTTTTATTTATTAACCAATCAGAGCAACACATTTAACATACAGAACATCTCACAGCACTTATCCATTATCTATGAGTTGATTATAACCTGGTTAGTAACAGCACTGGTTGGTGTCTTAGGATATTCAAGATGCCATGAGAAAATCATAATAAGCTGCAAGCTGAGTGTTGTGACAGATGTGTGGCCCCACTACCAGCAAGACTGAGGTGGAGGATCTAATGAACTCAGAAATGCAAAGGTAACTCATTCTAAATATTGACACTATATGTAAATATATAATAACTATACAGATGAGTATGTATATCACTATGTATTTAAGTATGTATCATAAACAGTATGGCTTATAAACAATAGAAATTGGTTTCTAGATTTGGTAATCATGAAGTTCAGGGTTAGAAAGCCATTAGATTTGGCATATGGAGAGGGGTAACTCTCTGACTCAAAGTTTGCCCCTTATGTCCTCCTTGAGTAAAATAGACAAACAATGGTGTTAATAGCCTGGCCATTACCTAGTGGATCCAATCTTATAATCATGACATTGGATATCAGGCTACAACATACAAGTCTGAGCCACAAAACCTTTCAGAATATAGCATTAATGTCCTCACATCAGCCAGCAAGTTTGCCAACAACTGAAAACCTCATTGTCTGTTGTCTCCATAATTTGTCACAAATGATCGATGCTGTAACAATTCAATTTATTTTTGTCCTCAAATGGGGAAAGGAACTTTTTTTTTCAAGTGAGATACATGTCTTGGCATGTTCATTTGTGTTTTGATCCTGGGAAAGTGTGTGTGTGTGTGTGACAAGAAGAACCACTTTAGTTCCTTGCTGTCTGCTTCCATCAAGGTTTATTTTTATTCCAAGGGCTCTACAAATGTGATGAGACCCTATTTGCATGATCACAGCATAGATCTGTGAAGATGTTTGACTGTGGGTTGTGTAGTGGGGTATGAACTGTTCAGCAGAAAAAATGGTCTGCCTGATCACTGCATGGAGGGCCCTTTGGCCTTTCTCAGTTCCAGGCTACTTCTTGCTTTCTTCTGGAACTCAAATTCTCTTTGGTCCTCTAGATCATTATTATTTTTTCTTTTTTTTTGTGGGTTTTAAAAATATTTATCTATTTATTTATTTATTTGTTTGTTTGTTTGTTTTTTCCGAGACAGGGTTTCTCTGTATAGTTTTGGTGCCTGTCCTGGATCTTGTTCTGTAGACCAGGCTGGCCTCAAACTCATAGAGATCCACCTGGCTCTGCCTCCCGAGCGCTGGGATTAAAGTTGCGTGCCATCACTGCCCAGTTTGTGTGTTTTTTAAAAATGTTTCTTTTTTACTTAAGAAATTTTAAAAATTCATTTTACAGACCAATCACAGTTTCCCCTCTCATCCTTCCTCCCACTCCCCTATGGCTTTCCCTCACCCAACCCACTCCCTATCTCTCCTCCAAAAAGGTAAGGCTTCCTGTGGGGAGTCAGCAAAGCCTGGTACATTCAGTTGAGGCAGGATCAAGCTCCTTTCCCCTGAATCAAGGCTGTGCAAGGTGTCCTACCATAGGTAATGAGCTCCAAAAAGCTCATACACCAGGGATGGATCCTGTTCCCAGTGCCAGGGTCCCTCAAACAGACCAAACTACACAACTGTCTCCCTCATGCAAAGGGCCTACCTGGGCCCATGCTGGTTCCACAGCTGTTGGTCTAGAGTTTGTGAATTCCTACGAGATTGGTTCAGTAGGCTCTGGAGATTTTGCAATTATGATCTTGACACCTGTCACCCCCCCTGTTCATATAATCCCTCTTTCTTCTCTTCAGCTGGACTCCTGGAGTTCAGCCTGGTGCTTGGCTGTGGCTCTCTGCATCTGATTCCATCACTGGATGAAGGCTCTATGATGACAGTTCAGGTATTCACCTATCTGGTAACCAGGGTAGGCCAGCTCAGGTACCCTCTCTATATTGCCAGTAGTCTAAGCTGGGGTCATTCTTGTGGATTCCTGGGAACTACTCTAGCACCAGGTTTGACTCTATCCCAATGATGTCTCCTTCTATCAAGAAATCTCTCTCATTGCTCTCCCACTCCATCTCTCCCCCAGCTTGACCATCTTGTTCCCTTAATTTCTCATCCCCCATCCTCTCCCCTCTTTTCCCCCTGTCACCCCCAGTTTACTCATGGAGATCTCACCTTATTTCCCCTTCCCAAAGTGATCCATGCATCCTTCTTAGGGTCCTCCTTGTTAGCTAGCATCTCTGGAGCTGTGGGTTGTAGTCTGGTTATCCTTTGCTTTACATCTAGTATCCACTTATGAGCGAGTACATACCATGTTTGTCTTTCTGATTTTGAGTTACCTCACTCAGGATGATATTTTCTAGTTCCATCTATTTGCCTGCAAATTTTATGATGTCTGTTGCTATAAGAAGGGTCAAGCATCAGTGATGCTTCAGTAAGTTACATGGACAGAGATGCCATCCATACTGTGAAGATGTTTGACTGTGGGTGTCTGAAATGAGGATGGAGATTTCAGGAGGCCCAGACATGTCCATCAGAAGAGATTGCTTTCCTCTGTCTCCCTGAGCATCTATTCATCTATTGAGGGCCCTTCTGCCTTTTACAGTTCCCTGCACACTTCTGGTTCCTGTGACACTCTATTCTCTGTGGTCTTCCCATCCTTAATTTCCATTCTTACCTTATTTTCACTTTAAGTTTTTTATTTATCCTCTAAACAAAACAAAACTTCCCACTTCAATTTTGTCTTTATATAAAAGTGCCAAATCATGTTGTCTGCAAGTGTTTTCCTAAAACATTTTATCTCTGTCATCACACAGATTGTTCCTCTTCCTATAGAGCTGAGATGGCCATAGCCTCTTGCCTCTGAGAAACTGCCTTTCTGGGGTTCTAGTTTTCCCAGGTACTCCAAGTCCCTCTTTTTCATCCACTGTTTTGAAGACCAATCACAGGAAATCATGAAGTGACAACTCTTGCATTGCTCTCCTTGGACACTAGAGGGCAGACAAAGATAAAGTTCCATAAGGTGCTAGATGATCTCTGAGCACAGGAAGACAACTGCCTGATAGATCTGCTGGAGCCTGAATTTACTGCTGGTTGCAAGGACATTTCAGCAGATGAACAGGGCACTTCACTAAGAGTGTTAGCTGCCAACATCATCATCATCATCATCATCATCATCATCATCATCATCAGTTAGAAATATACATATAGCAGAGAGGAAAACTAAAACCATATGTGGCTAACATAGCTATGAACCTGTGGGGTCGAGACTTGTTGCAACAACGGAATACTCAGATTAACATCCCTCCAGTCTCAGAAACAAATCATAAACTAGTACATGTTTCTGAGAGAAATATTAGAAGATATTATTCTAAAGAGTGGTCACCAGCCATCCATGTTATACAAGAACAGGGCACAACAACTGATGATCTTCCAAAACCACCAACAACTCTACCTTTAAAATGGTCAACAGACAAGCCTGTATGGGTTCAGCAATGGCCTTTAACAACAGAGAAACTCCAGGCTTTAGAAGAGCTGGTAGAAGAACAGTTAAATGCTCAGCATATTGAAGAATCAATCAGCCCTTGGAATTTTCCTGTATTTGTTATTAAAAAGAAATCTGGTAAATGAAGAATGGTAACAGACCTTAGAACAATTAACAAAGTAATTCAGTCAATGGGCTCTCTAAAATCTGGAATTCCTTTGCCTACTCTGTTACCAAAAGGATGGCCTCTCATAGTTATTGATTTAAAAGACTGTTTCTTTCTTTCTTTCTTTTTTTTTTTGGTTTTTTGAGACAGAGTTTCTCTGTGTAGCTTTGCGTCTTTCCTGGATCTCACTCTGTAGACCAGGCTGGCCTCGAACTCGCAGAGATCCACCTGCCTCTGCCTCCCAAGTGCTGGGATTAAAGGCATGTGCCACCACCGCCTGGCAAGACTGTTTCTTTTCAATACCCTTACAAGAAAATGACAGAGAAAGATTTGCTTTCACAGTGCCTACTTATAATAATTCTCAACTGGTTAAAAGATTTCAATGGAGGGTCCTCCCACAGGGAATGTTGAATAGCCCAACTCTGTGCCAATATTTTGTACAACAGCCATTGGAAGTGGTACGTAAAAAATTTCCTAAATCTATACTTTATCATTATATGGATGATACTTTACTAGCTGACTCAAATGCAGATACTTTAGAAAGAATGTTTGAAGAAGTAAAGAAAATTTTGCCTTGCTAGGGATTACAAATTGCTCCTGAAAAGATACAAAGAGGAGATTCTATTAATTATTTAGGATATAAAATAGAGCTACAAAAAATTAGACCCCAAAAGGTGCAAATTAGGAGAGATAGACTACAGACTCTTAATGACTTTCAAAGATTATTTGGAGACATTTCTCATCTAAGAACTATTGTTGGGGTAAAAAATGATGAACTGAATAATTTGTTTAAAATCTTAGAAGGTGACAAGGACTTAAATAGTCCAAGAGAATTATCACCTGAAGCTGAGAAAGAATTGGCCTTGGTAGAAAAGAAAGTACATGATGGGCACGTGGATCATATTGATCCAAAGCTGGATTGCATTTTGGTTATTTTACCTTCTAGACATTCTCCTACAGGAATATTAATGCAGAGGGAAGATATTATATTGGAATGATATTTTTACCAAATAAACCAAATAAAAAATTAAAAACTGATGTGGAAAAAATCTCTGACTTGATTTGGAAAGGAAAATTGAGACTTCGTCAAATAGCAGGAATAGACCCAGCAGAAATTGTCATACCTTTAACTAAGGAGGACATTGAAAAATTATGGACAGAAAGTGAACCTTGGCAAAAACCTTGCAGTAATTTTTTGGGAGAAATTAACAGCAAATATCCCAGAAGTGATAGAATTGATCTTATAAAGAGAGCTGATTGGATCTTGCCTCGAATTGTATGGGAAAAACCCATATCTGGAGTTTGTACATTTTATACAGATGCCAACAAACAAGGAAAGGCAGGTTACAAATCAGAAAATTGAAGTAAAGTGGTTCAAAGTCCTAATAATTCAGTTCAAAAATCAGAATTGTATGCTATTCTGTTGGTATTAATGGATTTTTCAGAACCTCTCAACGTAATAACTGACTCTCAGTATACTGAAAGAGTAGTATTACATATTGAGACTGCATAATTTATCCCTGATGCTTCAGAATTAACTTCACTATTTATTCAATTACAAGGTACAATCAGGAAAAGGAGTCATCCTTTATATATAACTCACATTCGATCCCATACTGGTCTGCCAGGCCCTCTAGCACAAGGCAATGATGAGATTGATAAATTATTGATAGGAAATGTGCTGGAGGCCTCAGAATTTCATAAAAAAATCATGTCAATAGTAAAGGTTTAAAAAAGGATTTTTCCATAACCTGGCAACAAGCCAAAGAAATAGTAAAGAAGTGTCCTACTTGTTCCTTCCACAATCAAACGCAATTACCAGCAGGATGTAACCCAAAGGGTACTCAGAGGAATGAAATCTGGCAGATGGACGTGTTTCACTTTGCAGAATTTGGAAAATTGAAATATGTACATCATACCATCGATACTTATTCAGGATTTCAATGGGCAACTGCTTTGAGTTCTGAAAAAGCTGATTCTGTAATCACTCATTTGCTAGAAGTTATGGCCAACATGGGTATACCTGCACAAATCAAAACTGACAATGCTCCGTCATATGTCTCTGTTAAAATGAAACAGTTTTTTGCTTATTACAATATAAAGCATATTACAGGTATACCACATAATCCTATAGGTCAAGCAGTTATAGAAAGATCAAACAGAACTCTAAAGGATATGCTAAATAAACAGAGCGGGGTAACAAAAACCCCCAGAAATAGACTACATAATGCTCTATTAACTTTGAATTTTCTCAATGCCAATGAGAAAGGAACAACAGCTGCAGAGAGACATTGGATAATAGGAAAAACTACAGAATTAAATCAGCCTATATACTTTAAGGATGTGCTGACCTCAGAATGGAAACCAGGGTATGTGTTACATTGAGGACGAGGTTTTGCTTTTGTTTCTACAGAAGAAGATAAGCTGTGGGTACCATCAAAATTGATAAAGGTTCGATTTGAACAAGAGAAACCTCTTAATTAGAGGAGGTGAAAGTTCATCAACCAGCATGAACATCCAATTTAAACTAACTTACACCAGTAACACATGCCTTTTCATTTAATCAGATAATAACTTGCCAAAAAGGAACATCCCCAAAAAACCTTGGGGAACGGTTTTTGTTTTTGTCTTTTAGGAGAATGAAGGTTAAGGAATCTGAAGAGCACTGGACAAATGAGACAACTGAAGAAAAGGGACAAATCATCTATCCCAGGAAACAGAGTGAAATGGCATATGGGTATATCATCTAAAAAATTTTATGTCTTCCTAAATGTATGTTTCTGCTTTTCTCTAAAGATTTAACACTATTGGTCTTCTAATAGTCCCAGTTCAATTAAAATTTAAAGCTGACTTTGGAGTTGGAGAATGGCTCTCTCCTTCTTTAAACTCAAGCATGTTGTTAAAAGGAAAATGCAAACTCCTTGTATCATGCCAGAAGAAAAGAGCCATCTTCTGCTATGGGACAGGAGAAAAGCCAAATTAATTAAGGGACTATTCTATTACTAATCTCAACTCTTTGATTCTATTCTGATTCTTTAAACTTTCCTTAGAGTATGAATTTTATATCAAAATTTACAAGATTTATATATATATATATATATATATATATTAAACTTTGTTAAGATATGGTCATATAGAGTACTAATAATTCTAGAAAGAAAAAAGGCTTCAATTAGCTGCATATATATGTCTTTGTGTTCAAGTCTCTTATCAGTTTTCTGCAGGAAATCACGGCCAGGCCTAACATCCACTGAAGTCTCCAGGAAGAAGATGGGGCCCCACAACAACAACAATTCCACATGGACAATAATAACATCACTAATCTGACAAACATCATCTATAGATCAGCTTTGAACTACAAAGTGCTCAGAGCAATTTTGAGAGGGCTAGCTGAAATGATGGAGTCTCAAAGACTACTTGAATAAGGATTTGAGATAAACCCTGAACTTTGGCATTATACACAGACTGGATAATGAAGGATATAGTACCTTTCCTAGAATTTGACAATTAACCTGAAATTTTTCTTTTCAGGATAAAGATACCTTTGCCCACACCCAGCAGGAAGCAATTTTAAGAATACGACGCCCACATTCCCAAAGAGGTGGTGTGGAGCGGGTGGTTTTTTTGGTCTTTTGATGGGTTTTGGGTCTGGGATAATTTTCATTGATTAGGGGGGTTGGTTACAAGTTGTTGTCAAGGGTTAGGAAAAGGGCTAAGCAAAAGAGATTACATTTAAGGTTCATGTTTAAAAAAGAAAAGAAAAAGACAATTACTAGTTTTAAATACTTCACATTGGATTGGATTGTTTTATATTGTATACAATATATATATATATATATATTGAAATTGATATTGTTAGAAAATGCTATATGTATAATTCTAACTGTATTTATACCGCTCATTTAACAATGTAATACAATTTTCTGATCCTTTCTGTTATTATTACCAACTATTAGGATATAAAGAAATGAAAGTTAGTAGCTAGAGATTATAATAGAACTTGTAGTCATATTAGGTATGTTTTCAAGATTGAGCAGAGCAGATATATTTTAGATAGACAGGTCATCTTCAAACCCTTCAGAGATCTACAGAATATGGCATTTAAAATGTTTTAATAACTTAGAAATTTTTCTTTTTTGTTATGACTATGAGATATGCTCCTGGCAGTCCAATCTACTTCAGAGAAAATATGGGCATTGAAAAAACTGCAATTGGAGTTAACTTTCATTGTGGCAAAAGTTAGCCATTGGACAACAAAGTATCCTTGAATCAACTGCTGACAAACAGGACAGACAGGACACGAAACAAAGGACTACTGATTCTTGCCAAAACAAGTGTGGTTATGGCTTTATTAAAAGGCATCTTCTGAGGCCAGGACAATATGGCACCATCCCTGAAGTGGCCTTCACAATCCGGAAAAGGTACAGTGCCCTTTTCTTCGAAGGCAGCTGAACAGGCAGTGGGCCAATGGTTTCTGATGTGCAATGGAACAGCAGCTGAAACAGTTATTCTTGAGTTATTCTTGAAGAGTAATTAAGCTCACGCCTCTTAATAGTAGAATGGTATTTAATAGAGGGATGTGGAGAAGAATGGGATGCTGAGATGAAGCCACATACACACATAGCCAAGAAGAATGGACAGCTGAATTCAAAAAACATCAACAATTTCCAGAATTTAAAATCCTGAATCATGACATGACACTAGTGGAATTCAGGTGTTTCTGGTATATAGACTGCTCTCACCCAATGTGAGGTTGAACTGTTGACCTTGTGTACATCCTACCTCACAAATGAGTCTGTCAGATACGCTAAGCCTATAGGCTGAAGATGATGCCCCAACACTGCGGAGAAACCTCAGCTGACTGTCCAAGCAGCTGGCTGTTTCTGTCAATTCACAATTTTTTGGAAGTTGCTTGCATGTACTTCCTGTTTTTATTTTTGTTAGCTAATATTATTTCCTTCTTGGGTCTCTGAGGGAGTTGAAGATTAGTTAGTTATAGTTGAAGATTAATTAGGATAGAAAGTGAATTAGATACAATAGGATATATAATGGAATTATTTTCTCTGAATTTGTCAAATACAAATGGACTAGACATTGTTTAGGTATTTATTACTTCTATATATTGTATATAGTTATTGTACTTTTGTATATAGTTTTCTTATGTTAGTTATAAGCTTTTTCCTTTTTTCTTTTTATTAAAATAGAAAAGGGGAAATATGGTGATATTTTATTTGTACTAAAATGTTATTTGTATGTTAATAAATAAAGTTCCCCGGGGGTCAGAGCTATTAGCAAGCCATAGGAAAGCCAGGCGGTGGTGGCACATGCTTTTAATCCCAGCACTTGGTTGGCAGAGCTAGGTAAGTCTCTGTGTGTTCAGGGATACAGCCAGCATTGGATACACATGCCTTTAATCTTAATACCAACCATAGAAGACCTGGAGGTCTGTACAGACAGGCAGTGAAGAGGCGATCATGTGGTTGGGTTTACAACCAATGAGAAGGCAGAACAGAAAGTCTAGATAAAGACTTTAACACAGGAAGTAGCTCTCTTTTGGAGAGGTAGGACTACCGCAGGAGGAAGGGTAAGATTTTAGCTCTTAGCTCTGACCTCTTAGCTTTCTTCTTTGCATTGGTTCTGTGTTTCTTATTTAATAAGACGGTTGGTTACATCTACAATCTTCTTCTTCTTCTTCTTCCTTCTTCTTCTTCTTCTTCTTCTTCTTCTTCTTCTTCTTCTTCTTCTTCTTCTTCTTCTTCTTCTTCTTCTTCTTCTTCCTCTTCCTCTTCCTCTTCCTCTTCCTCTTCCTCTTCCTCTTCCTCTTCTTCTTCCTCTCCTTCTCCTCCAGGAACAATTCCTCCTTCTCAACCTCCTCCTCTCCTCCCCCTCCCCCTCCTCCTTTCCAGAAGGGTTTCTCTGTGTAATTTTGAAGCCTGTCCTGGAACTCTCTCTGTAGATCAGGCTGGCCTCGAAGTCACAGAGATCCACCTGCCTCTGCCTCCCGAGTGCTGGAATCAAAGACATGTGCCACCACCACCCAGCAGCAGGGGACTTTTTAGATTTAGGTAATAGTCTTATTTTTTTTTAGAACTTTATTGTCAAGTGATAAGTATGCACTCAAATTCACTCATTTATTCCATAGCTTAGTATATTGGAATAGAATATGAGGAATGTAACCACACCCACTTCAGGTATAAATATTTATTTTCTGACTAAACAAGAAATATTTCTGTATGTTCCCTTTCATTAACCATAGACCAGAGCCCTATTACCTGGCAACCAACTGACTGCTTTCTGGAGTTGAATTTTGGAAATAGAATATAATTCAGAAACATCAGAGTTTTATCTACCCTATCATAGAGAAGAATCATGTGTGAGAGGTTCTGACACTGAGAATAATGTTTTTGAGATTTAAATGGCATTTTCCTTTGATGATGAGTGAACTTACCACTTGTTGGTGCACATCTGAGTGACATTAGGTTTGGGCTATTTTAATCAAGCTGTCATGCTCTTGTTCAAACAAGACTTTGACTGGGCATGTTGGTACATGCCTTTAATCCCAGCACTCAGGAGGCAAAGGCAGGCTAAAGTCCTGAAAGTAGAACTGTTGAGTCATAGAACAAATGTGTTGAACTTTCAGAGAAAATGTGAAGTTGCCATCCCCAATCACCGTGTAATCATTTTCCTTACCCTCTAGCCATGTGTAGCTGTACCAGTTGCTCCATGTCTTTGCCAACACTTTTGCTTATGGGTCATGATCTGGTTATAATGACTGGGTGTGGGGTGGTGTCTCATTTTAGATGTTTTCCTGAGCTTTACTCCCTTCCCTACACACATACACACATACACACACACACACACACACACACACACACACACACACACACACACACTGACAATTTCCTCATATACAGAAAATGACTGATGAGACTCTCCAGTCCACATTTCCTATGGTCTTTCCATCATCAATGCAGAGCCTGTGAAGCCAGTGCAGTAAGTAGCAGAGTGCACGGGGACCCTCCTCCAGCTTGGTGCAGAAGCCCAGGATTCGGAAGATTACCATGCTGTCCAGTTAACTGAAGAAACTGGTCCTAGGACAGGGAGCTTGCAGGAACTGATGGCCTTCAGCCTCCATACTCCAGTTGTTCCTTCAAACAGGGAGGGCAGAGAGAGCATTGCCTAGGCAGGAGCTGTGACCACAGAGTGTGCTGATGAGGAGACAGATTATTGAGAGCAGGGTGATAGGACAAGCCGTGGTTGTACCATACCAGGGAAATGACCAGAAAACTGCCATAGATTAAGTCTTTCTGTGTGGTTCTGTGGGCTCTGTAGACTGGAAAATGGAACCAAGGTCAGTTCTTAGGTGGCTCTAAAGTCTTTCTAAGATTCAATCTCATGATACTACATTTGGAAAATCAGTATGGGCAAGGTGTGAGCTCCTGATTCTGTCCTCTCAGATGTAGTTTGCCAAGGTTCACCATGTTTCTGAAACTCCTGCTCAATGGCCTGCATTTGGACTTTAATTCAGGCCCCAAGAGCCCAGACTGTCCTCAGTATTAGAGCCAGCAGGCTCCAGTGCATGTGGGTTAGCAACTATGAACTTGAGAGAAGCTGGCCACTAGAGTAGCTACAGCAAAGAGGCCAAGTGACTATGGTATGGTGGCAGAGTTGCAGTGTGATTCATGAACTGTCAAGGCACAGCTGGGAGGGGCACATGAAGACCCTAAGATCAATGTTAAGTGTTGAGGAACCCTGAACCTGGACTCAGGAACTGTAAATCCTGAAAGTAGGAAGGTGTTTTCAGGTAGTGGGCATGCACATGCAGTTCCCCTTTACCCAGGTCATATTTCCTCAGTTCCATTCCATTCTCAATCTGTGACATACTGAGTATGCATCTCTGCAAAAAAAGCTTCTCTAGTTATTGCTTTCTTCTTCATCCTCTCTACACCAATACTTTAAGAGTCCTGTGACTGCTTTATAAGTCTGAAAATGGCGACTCCAGATTTGGAGAGAGGGCTTCAGAGTCCCTGCTGTGTCTCCCAAGGGGACTAAAGGAAGAGCAGGAATGGGAGGCAGCTTTGCCTCACTTGCTGCTCATTGGTTTCCACCATGCAGCCCAGCCTGTAGAGTTCAAGGATCTTGGCCTGGACTACCCCGCCCTCTGCCCCCAGTCTGCCTCCTCTCCTTTCGTTCAAAGTTCCTGCCTGGGCAAGTTAATATATTTGTGACATTAATAGGAGGTTGATCTCACACAGCAGCACAGACTCAGGACTGGGAGCTAAGCATGCCTTCAGACAGACTTTCTAGATGGCTGAATTCTCTGACCTGTGGGCTTCTGCTTCTCTTCACTGTGCAGGGTAAGACTACCTAGGGAGGAATGGGGGACCCATTTCCAAGCTGCCAAAACTTGATGAGAGTTGTTGGCTGAGATTGCAGGAGTAAAAGTACCAGGGAGGAAGGAGCCGGTGGAGATGGCAGTGTGGGAAATGTGAATCTCCTAATTCCCTACAAAAGCCCAGAGTCTTGCCCCTCTACCAAACAGGGGGTCTAGGAGGCCAGAGGACCTCCAATACTGAGAAGCTACCCCAGCATGATGGGCTCTCAGTTGTGTTGGATATAAATGTCAAGGGATAGAGGAGCAGAGGGGACATTTCCTCTCTGTGTGTCTGAAACTGTAGCTGCTACTGACTTGGATAATAACAGCATAACTTCATGCTGCTGAAGAGTCCTCATGTGTCACTCTCAGAATGGAGAAGTGCCATGGCACTCCGTAAAGACCCTGCAGAAGGTACTGGCTGCCACTAAGGTATACAAACAGTTCCATTCCTACAACCTATAGTTGTACCTACCTAGAATCTCTGGGTTCCCTTCTCCATGCTCCTTATCTAGGCTTGCTTTCTGGGGCAACTAGCATGTGCTGTGGGTGTGTACAATTTTCAGGTCCTTATCAGAGCTGAGTCTGAGGGCACTGTGCTCAGTATGTGTGTGCAGCCCTAGGTGTCCCTTACCACAGCGCCTCCTAGTGTCATCTCTGGTGACCTCTAGTCAGGCCTCCCCACTAAGAAGACTGCACTCCCCTTGGGCTGGGACTCTTCCCTCTTGTTTCCAGGGATCTGAGAGATCACCAGCACCTTCTCGACAGGAGATTCTGCCAGATTCACTCAGGGCTGTTATTTTATTTTATTTTTTTTCATTTTTTATTAAGAATTTTTCTATTCACTTTACATACCAACCACAGATCCCCCCTCTTCCCTCTTCCCACCCCCAGCTTTTCTCCCTACTCACCCTCATCCCCACATTTTCCAAATCAAGGTCTCCCATGGGGAGTCAGCACAGCCTGGCCCACTCAGCTGAGGCAGGTCCTGTCAGGGACAAAGATAGAATCTCTAGTTAGTGGAAAAGTACAGACCCCCATAAGACAGGGAACTAGATCATCTTACAGTCAGGTTGCCTAGCAACAGGACATTGAGGCAGAGCCCTTGACCTTTTCACCCTGTAAACATCCTATACAAACATCCTGATAGCTTGCCCCACCTTATGCAGATGACAGCTTCTTGCTCCCCCGACCCTGCAGAAACTATATAAACCCTCTTGGAGAAAAATAAAGTTGCACCTTGATCAGAATCTAGACTTGGTGTGTTTCCTTGTATCTCCTGTCTCTATCATTCCGTCCTTAGGGTGGTCGTGAACCCGTTGAAGCCCTGCAGGCGGGGCAAGGTCCAAGCCTTTACCCCCTGCACCAAGGCTGTGTAAGGTGTCACACCCTAGGCACTGGGCTCCAAAAAGCTAGCCCATGCACCAGGAATGGATCCTGATCCCCCTTCTGGTGGAGCCCTGCAAACAGTTCAACAAAACAACTGTCTCCCATTTCCAGAGGGCCTAATCTAGTCCTATGGGGGAAGCCACAGCATTTAGTCCACAGTTTGTGGGTTTCCACTAGTGTGCCTGGTCCTTTCTGCATGTTTACTCATCATGATCTTGATGTCCCCTGCTACAGAATCCCTCTTCTCTCTCATTGATTGGATTCCAGGAGCTCAGCCTGGTGCCCAGCTTTGGATCTCTGCATCTGCTTCCAGCACTCACTAGATGAAGGCTCTTTGATGACAGGGTATTCACTAGACCGGTCACCTTAGTAGACATTCCGGCACCCTCTCGACCTTTGCCAGTAGTCCAAGGTGAGGTCATCCTTGTGGATTCTTGAGTGTTTCCCAAGCACCATGCCTCTTCTTATTCCCAGGATGTCTTCAGTTGATCATGGTATCTCTTTCCTTGCTCTCCCACTCTGTCTCTGTTCCAGCTCAAACCTCCAATTTCCTATGTTCTCATCCCCCATTCTTTGTCCTTCATTACCACCTGTCCTCACTCCCAGTTTGCTCATGTAGATCTCATCTATTTCTTCTTCACTGGGTCATCTATGTGTCTGTCTTAGGGTCCCTCCTTGTTAGCTAGCTTCTCTGGAGCTGTGGGTTGTAGTCTATTATCCTTTGCCTTACATCTAGTATCCACTTATGAGTGATACATACTATGTCTCTCCTTCTAAGTCTGGGTTACCTCACTTAGGATGATATTTTCTAGTTCATCCATTTGCCTGCAAATTTCATGAAATCATTGTTTTTTTTTTACTGTTGAGT